TATTATTATTATTATTATTATTATTATTAATAATATTATTATTATTATTATTATTATTATTATTATTGTTATTATTATTGGTATTCATTTTTTAGAATTAGAAGCGAGGTGAGAGATACGAAGAAGGTGAGAGACGCGAGAAAGGTGAGAGACTTGAAATAAAATCCATTTTATTTTATTTTTTTTTTATAAGGAGGTAAAAAAAAATTAAAAATCATGGAATTAGGGGAATTTTTTTTTTTAGTAAAAAATCATGGAAAAAAATTTTTTTTTGTACGGAAAAAATTTTAAAATCATGGTAAATTTCTAAATTAGGGAATATTCCATTATATAGATAATCTAAGATTGAGAGTATTATAAATTTAACCATATAAATAAAATAATGGGCTAACTGCAGAATACAAAAATACACAAAACGTTATTAAAATATCACATGCAATTTTGCATATCATATAAGAAATCCATAATACAATTGTGAAATAATAGTACTATATAATAGCCATTTAATATATATATAGCAATAGCCATTTAAAAAATCAATGGCGCAAAAAATAATTAACCAAAGCATTTTGTTACATTCTGTTCTGTTTAGTATTGGTAGGCTAGTGGTCACTTGTACATTTAGTTTTAGTTGTGAAGTATTACATTTTGTAAGAACTAAAATCGTTGAATTGTCTAGCCACGTTTTCTAAAAACTGCTTCTTTGTGTGGGTTCGCGAGGTAAATTCATATTTTGTAATCACATACCATTCGAATGTCTTTGATATTGAGGCCGCTGTTGAGTATTAGGTCATCATTTTGTAATTACATACCATTCGAAATGAGGCACCTGTTGACTGTTAATAAAGTATTAGTGATTAAATTCTTTTTGTCAATTGATAAAAAAAAAAGGTTCAAATTTGTGTAATTTTTTTATAAGAGATGGTTATGATTTAATCATCTAACTGTTGATCAATCTCACGATAATAGTATAGTGTCTTACATCAAAGTGTTTAGTAATGTTGCGAGTGAGTCATGGGTGAGTCGCGGGTGAGTCGCGGGTGTTCAGTATATTATAAGTATTATATTATCGCGGGTGAGTCGCGGGTAAAATCGCAGAATTATACATAAACATCGAGTAATTCAATTTGATCAATCAGAGTAGTAATTTATTACATCATTAATAAGTAATATTATTATTAATTAGACTTTTATTTATTGATATTTATTACATCATTAACAAGTAAGTATTATTTAATTTATGAAAAAAAAAAATTAAATCAAATTCATTCGTTTTCCTCATTTCCTCATTTTTTTTTTTTAAAAAAAATTCAATTTTAATTGTTTTTTTTCAAAAAAAATTTCAATTTCAATTTTTTTTTTTTTTCAAAAAAAATTTTAATTTTAATTGTTTAAAAATGTGGACCGATGACGAAGTTAGAATGTTGATTGACGAAAGAAAAGAAGGTAACGATCATTACCACTCCCTCGGTGGGGGAGTTGTAAGAGAGCGTGGTGGACCTCAACCGCTGCAAAAATCAACCAGAGATACCGAACTACTTATACAGGGTGCCAGGCTTCTGAAAAATTCCATGGCATCGTAAAGGATTGCTGTGTAAATATTCAATATTATACAAATACTATACTATCATTATCTCTTCAAATATAAGCTAATTTACATAATCTTTCTAGTTAATGGAATTATCTTTAAGTGAGGACCCGAGAGGAAAACAAACAAGAAACGGAGAAAGATATCATGTAGAGTTCAGAAGTGGGTTTTGGAAAAAACCAAGTAAATATTTAATTTTGAATCTGTAAAATTTTTAATTTCTTTTACTAAATAGTATTGATTTCTAAATAATATTTTTAGAATTACAACGGCAACGGTCACAACGGTCATAAAAGTTACAAAGACAACAACAGGATCCTGATCAGGATCATAAGTTACGAAGTCAACAACAACAACAGCAACAGCATCAGCAGAATTCTGATCATCCTGATCAGGATCAAAAGTTACGAAGTCTAGAGGATCAGAAAGTGGTCCAAATATTTGATGAATTATTATGAAGTCAACAGCAACAGCAGGATCAGCAAGTGGTCCAAGTATTTGATGATGAATTAGAAAGAGAGGATTCTAGCCAGGCTAGCCAGTCTAGCCTGGCTATTTGGGAAATTGACGATGATTAATAATTCATTTTAATAGTATTAATTAATAAATCATTTTAATAAAAAAAATATTCATATTATTATAATTATTGCTATAGTATTAACGTGATTTTTATTATAAAGGCTAAATATCAAATTGACTCTCTGCCTAATTGTTGTATCTATAAACAATTTTATTTATAAACGTTATATTATAATACATTGCAATACGTCTGTGATAAATAAATATGTCTGTTATTAATAATGTTGTCCATTCTATAGGTAAGATGGAATCAACCAGCCAGAGAATATAATATATAATGGGTATTTGGAATTGTCGCAAACGTTTATTTCTAATTTTATTAGATTGAAATTAAGGGATTTTATATAAAACGCGTAATAAAAATTTACAATACAAAAGAACTTTAAAGTACAATGTAAAAGAACTAATAAGAATTTATTTACTAAACTCACTATTTAAGAAAATCCGAAATAAGAATTTATTTACTAAACTCACTATTTAAGAAAATCCGACATGCACATCGCACATCTTTCGATGTAAATCCGTTTACATCGAAATACTCAATTTACCATTTGACTAAATAGACAATTTTTAATTAAATTATTATTCCCATTCTTCCATACATTCCTTATCAATAATATATGTTTTACGTCCCAATTTCATAAAACCTACACATCTATTGATTGCAGTAACATCAATAAATTGTGTAGAACCATCACCTACAAAGGAAGTTGTACCTAATGAATCTTCATTAACTTCATTTGTCCATGTTACGTTCGCTAGCATTATTTTCTGATCCATATA